AGCTGAAGCTCCTGTCTGTCTGCAGCCGAAGGTCATGTCTGTCTGCACCTGAAGCTCCTGTCTCTGCAGCCGAAGGTCCGTCTGCCTTCAACTGAAGTTCCTGTCTCTCTGCAGCTGAGGTTCATCTCGCTGAAGGTCTTGTCTGACATCAGCTGAAAATCCTGTCAATCTGCAGACGAAGTCTTGAAGCTGAAAGCTTTTACACAAATCTTCAATAAACAGCTGTTCCTCAGAAAATATATATATACTTTAAAAATAAATCAGAGTTTTTCTCTGAGGTGAAACTAAAACACTTACCAAACAATTTACAACAGATTTACACTTTGACCCACAGTTTTAGGTCCTTCTGCAGTTCTTCAGCTCTGTGCACGTCTGCAGTTTGACTCCTTCGAAAACTAAAATTCAGGAAGGAAAATATTAGTAAATAAAGTTAAATATTTAGAAAGGTAGTTTCAAAGTCTAAAAGTCCCTGCAGACATCTCCTGAATGAGCTGAACGTTTGGAAATGAAAACAGCTAAAGCAGCTCAAAGTAGTTGAACAGCAAAAATAAAAACAGGAAGACAACCTTGCTAATGCTAACTCCGTGTAGCATTCTGTGGTGCTGCCTCCTGCTGGACTGGAGGGGAACTGAATATTTTAAACTTACCAGAAATAACTTTACAAGCAGCAGCTAAAGTGTTTTTTCTTCTCAGATCCCACATGGGATGAACTTCTGCTGTTGAGGAGTTCTGAAACATTTCAGGTTAATTCTCGTCATCTCGTGTTTCTTGAAATCTCATAATGTTTTTTTCTTTATGAAGTAAAACCAGTGTCCATAAACAACATCATGAAACTGAAGGAGGCCGAGGGTTTGTTGGACAGAGGAGGAGGGTGGAGCAGACAGCCAGTCTTTGTGGTCCACAGGACAAAGAGCTGCTGTCAGTGGACGTCCGGCCTCCCCGGGTCACAGTGGGCTCCTGTCAGTGGACGACCGGGCCTCAGAGGGACACCCAGCCGCACTTTCAGCTGCTGCCTGCTTTTCTTCAGCTTCTCTTGTGCAGGGAGACAACATGAAGAGCTGCCTCGGCCTGGTTCTGCTGCTGCTGGGTTCTGTGATGCTGCATGGAGGTGAGTGGACCAGAACTCTGCTCTGACAAGACGTCTCATCAGCTGTGAACTAACGCTTACTCTGTAAAGTTCTGGTTCTGATCATGTTCTTCAGTCTCAGGTAAACACAGGAAGCGTCACCTTAAGATAAACAGAAAATATTCATGTTTATTGTGATTAATATTCTTTTTGTGTGAAAAAAGTTTCATGGGGAATAACCAGCCTCACATTTATTTTAGTTTGTGGTTTTGTTTATTTCTGTATTTATTTATTTATTTATTTATGGTAATAAAAACAACCATTCTTGACAAACCTCAACGTTTTAAACTTTGTCACAACCTCAGCGTAACGTTACTGCCCCCTAGTGCTCCTCTGGGGAAACTGACCAAAACTGACCACATTGAAATCCATTATAAATGCATTTAATCGCAGAATTATTACATTTTTATTTTTATTTTACCTTTATCTCGGCACTTTTGATTTTTATATTAGCCCATTAGGTGATGCTCGCGTTTACATTTGAGAGATGCTGTAAAATTACCTGACAGGTGGCGGGCCTTTACCTGAAAGAAGTGGACGTTGCTGTGGAGTCCTGTCTCACATCTCATACAGCAAAACTGTTTTAGTTCTGATGTAATGAGCAAAAACATTTGGTATAAAACAGGAGAGCCACGTGCACGCAGGTTGAGGAATCAGACACTTCCAGACCGAGAACATTTAACTCCGGTTGGCTCGGTTGGCTGAATCCTCTTGGACATATTTTTCTTTATTTTTTTTCTTCAATATTTTTAAGTTGTCATAAAATAAAACTTTTTTATATTTAATGAATTGTGTTTTTTTAATTGAAGAACATAAAAGTCATTAAAATGTTGTATTTTTATTTCAGGCTGGTATGGCTACATTTGAGCTCATCATCTGTAAAACAGACTGTGTTATCAACTTTTTGTGCTTTTTATTGCTGTTTAACTGTGGTGGCCATCTTGAACTGAGTCCATCAATTTTTGATGTTCATCTGACAATGACTTCCCCAGAGTTTCAATAAAATCTGTCCAGCGGTTCCAGTGATATTTTGCTAACAGACAGGAAGCCTAGGGTCAGTCCCTGTAAGTGAAACCTGAAGTTTGTCCCTCCTGGTCCTCAGGTTCTGGACTTCGCTGCTACAGGTGCTCTGATTACACGGGGCGCTGCGAGAACGTGCAGGAGTGCACGTATGAGGACTCGTGCATCTCTCTGAGTGAAAGAGGTGAGTTCAGGTGAAACATCACAGCAGCTGTTTCCATGGAAACAAAGAGCTGACAGTTTGTTTTACAGCTTGAATAAAAAAAAAAAAACGTAATTTTGAAGATCTCTGTCTCGTCCAATCAGAGCTGTGTGTTTGTGTCCTGTTGTCCAATCAGAGCTGTGTGTTTGTGTCCTTGTGTCCAATCAGAACTGTGTGTTTGTGTCCTTGTGTCCAATCAGAGCTGTGTGTTTGTGTCCTTTTGTCCAATCAGAGCTGTGTGTTTGTGTCCTTTTGTCCAATCAGAACTGTGTGTTTGTGTCCTGTTGTCCAATCAGAGCTGTGTCTTTGTGTCCTCTTGTCCAATCAGAGCTGTGTGTTTGTGTCCAATCAGAGCTGTGTGTTTGTGTCCTTGTGTCCAATCAAAGCTGTGTGTTTGTGTCCTTGTGTCCATTCAGAGCTGTGTGTTTGTGTCTTTGTGTCCAATCAGAACTGTTTTGTCCATTTGTCCAATCTGAGCTGTGTGCTTGTGTCCAGGGGGGAGGACGATCCGTCAGTGCATCAGGTACACGGACTGCGACATCTCCCGCCTCACCCAGATGTTTCCATCTGTCTCCAGCTTCACCTACAGATGCTGCAACAGCAACCTGTGTAACTCGGGCTCCTCGGTTGCCATGGCAACACCAGCTCTGGCCCTGATGGGGTCCCTGCTGAGCGTTTGGTGGTTCTGGTCTTGAACCCGAGTCGTAGATTTTAACCTCTGACGAGAACTAATCTGTTTTCCGTTTCTCAGGTCTCATTTTAAAATCTTTATTTACTCATTTTTAAATTTATATTTTACAGATTTAATAAATAGGATCAAACAACTACTGTGGTTTTCATTCATATTTTTTAGGATTTCTAAACACTCAGGTTCTGCTAATGGACCTTCGATGGTGACAAAACAACTCAACACAGAAAAAACTAAATGGATTTATTAAATATAAAGAACATGACACAACTTTGAAATGATTAAGAACTCCACAGAACCGGAGCTGCAGAACTTCCTGCTGTGTCCATCAGACCATCATAAATAAAAGCATTCACACAAAAGAAGGCAAACACAGATTGACATGACAGGAAGTATTTCACAATAAAAGCACAACAACTCAAAGACAAGTCGGAGTCCAAAGTTTCATCCGTTTGTTTCATTTAGTTTCATGGTCCAAGTGTGGTTCTGTTCTAGTTCTGAGCTGCTTCATCAGAACTTCACGTCTGTTTGTAATAAAAGTTAAAACATGTCAGAAGTTCAGTCGGTGTTTTCGTGTTTCCAACCTAAAAAAAAAAAAAAAAAAACAGGTTCCACAAGTTGTTATTTATGAAAAGAAAAGAAAAAGTTTAAAACTTCTTCTACAGGATCAGGAGCTGCTGATTACCTGATGATCATCAGGAGGTTCTGTTGGATCAGGAGCTTAAGGTGTGTTAACAAAATGCCAGGGTGGAAAGATATAAGCAATGACCTCAGAGAGGCTGCCTGTCAATCTGGGAAGGGTCAAAGGTCATTTAGAGTCCATCGTTCAGACCATGCAGTGACACTACAGGTCTCAGTCAGCAGGTCAAAGGTCATGACCTCTCTAAAAACAACATGGCAGCTCAATTTAGGTTTGGAAAGTTTCATCTGAAGGAACCACAAGAACTCTGGACCAGAACCAGAGCAAAAGACAGATGTTTACCCACAATGCACTGCAGCAAACAGCTCCTCCCGCTGTCAGCATGGTGGTGGAGGGCTGATGGTTTGGGCTCCTGTGGACTAGGAACTCTTAGACCAAAGGGTTCTGGAGTCAGATGTGAGTCCATCTGTCTAGCTTGGACCAAACTGGGTCCAACAGAACCATGATCCCAAACACAGTAGCTGATCTACAACAGAGCGAGTCAAAAAGAATAGAACCAAGGTTCTGCTATGGTCCAGTCAGAGTCCAGAACCTGAACCAGACTGAAATGCTGTAGTGGACCTCCAGCGAGCTGAGAAGAACCTTCAATGATGAAGAGTGGGTCAGAACCCCTCCAGAACCAGGAGAGGCAGATGAAGTCCTACAGAGAACTGCTGAGGCTTCTGGTTCTGGAGAAGTTCTGTTTGATCAGGAGCTGGAACCAGTTGAGTTGAACAAATAAGGACTAAGTGGAACCTGTTCAGGTTCTGTTGGAATTGTTTCAGAACCTGGCATGGACCGGACCAGCTCCACGTGTTCTGATGGACTTTGTTTTCCACACAAGACGTGTGTTTTTGTGAAGATCAAACAGAACTCTTGTTTATCTAACTTGTGACTCCTCTTTGTCTTCTCGGAAAAACATTGAATTGTGGGAGAGAGCAATGCATTGTGGGAAATTAAAGGCAAGGACGCTTCAGTCGCTCAAGTCTCCAAGTCCATCCTCTTCCTGCCGTCCAATCACCTCCAGCTGCACCGTCTTCTTCTGACCCTTCTGCTCCGCCTCCTTGTTTGGCTTCACTGATTGGGCGTACCAGGGCTGAGGGGCGGCGCCTTCGCAGGCTCGACCCCCTCGGCGGAAGCCCCCCCTGCCGGCCCGGACCAGCCCCCAGCCCTGCAGCTGGGTGTCTGATGTCCCTTCCTGGACTCCTCTGGTCTGGTCCAGCTCCTTGGCGCTGAGCGACGACATCCGGACCGGAACCGTGTTTCCGAACTTGGAGTAGTCGACGCAGTAGTGGCCGTCCTCCTCTGTGATGATGGAGACAAATCGCCTCCCCCACAGAATCTCCTCAGGGGTGTAGGAGGTGCGGGCCTGCATGGTGATCCCCGTCGTCTCCACCACTCCTGGAAGGAAGTGAACCCAAACAGAATCAGAACCAGAACATGTCCACATTGAGACAGCAACAACCACAAACAGGAAAGTTTTCCCTGCTCAGGTGCAGGAGTGGGCGGAGCCTGACCTTCCAGGATGACAATGATCTCCAGGTCCTCGGAGGCCAGAGACTGGGCGGACAGCTCGTACAGAGGACTGCCTCGCTCGATGGTGTGGCTGATGATGAGAGGAGACACCAGGAAAATGCCGTTGCTCCTCAAAGGGTTCTCCACCTGGATGTCCAGCTGACACACCGGGATCACCTCGCCCTCCACCGTCACCGTGCGTCGGATCACCTGCAGACAAACAGTGGTGCTCTCATAAAGAACCTCTATGTGGCAGCTGTCGATGAGGGCCGGTCGGCGCTAACCTGCAGCTGCACGGTGGCCGAGATGATCATGCTCTTCCTCAGGTCTCCGACTCGGAACATGAAGGCGGGCCGGCCGTTCCGAGTGGCGATGACGGCGTTCCGGGAGAAGATGAGCGTCTCGGCTCGCCGGTTGGCCTGCGCCGTCTTCATGAACACGCAGCCGAGCATCACGGCGTTGATGATCAGACCCAGAATGTTCTGGATGATCAGAACAATGATGGCCACGGGACACTCCTCCGTCACCATCCTGCCACCGAACCCGATGGTCACCTGGAGACGAGACGAGAGCATCTAAAAACCAGCTGCAGCATCACACCTGGACCTGTTGTCTCTAACTCGGACCTCCAGAGTCCCACCTGGACCTGTTGTCTCTAACTTGGACCTCCAGAGTCCCACCTGGACCTATTGTCTCTAACTCGGACCTCCAGAGTCCCACCTGGACCTGTTGTCTGTCTCTAACTTGGA